GTCAAGCACATTTGTACATTCATTGCCCTCATCATTCCCAAAACATTTCTCTCCACTTAAGCCACTGGCATCAGCTCCTCATTTTTCCCCACCCTCCCTGCTCCCCACTCCTCGTGAACCCTTGATAATTTATAAATTATTATTTTGTCATATCTTGCCCTGTCCGACGTCTCCCTTCACTCACTTTTCTGTTGTCCGTCCTCCAGGGAGGAGGTCACATGTAGATCCTTGTCATCGGTTCCCCCTTTCCAACCCACCCTCCCCTCTACCCTCCCAGTATCGCCACTCACACCACTGGTCCTGAAGGGATCATCCGCCCTGGATTCCCTGTGTCTCCAGTTCCTATCTGTACCAGTGTACATCCTCTGGTCTAGCCAGACTGGCAAGGTAGAATTGGGATCATGATAGTTGGGTGGTGGTGGGGGGAAGCATTCAGGAACTAGAGGAAAATTGTATTTTTCATCATTGCTACATCGCACCCTGACTGGCTCGTCTCCTCCCCGAGACCCTTCTGTAAGGGGGTCTCCGGTGGGGCCTTTAGATTTTGCTGAGAAATTCTCACCTCCTCTGTTCTGGCTTCTCGAGGCATTTTCTCCCCAAATGATGGCCAAACCTTCTTAACTAGTTTCCATGGCTCTGGTTTCCCTTCAGCCCCTCAAGTCTCCTACCCAACCCCTTCTTCACGGAACCAGCAAGCTCGTTTCTTCTGAATTGGTCACCCCCTTACTTAAAACCTGTGATGGTTCCTTAGGAACTCAAACTTCTTCGCCTGGTTTTAAACCCTTCATAGTATGTTCTCAATGTACTTCTCAGACCTCATCTCTGCTCCTTCCACTTATACCCAGTTACGGGTCCCAGCACACAGAATGATCTCCCTTACCTCCAGTGTTTGCGTATACTGTTCCCTCCATCTGGAATGCTCTTCTCCAGCATCTTTGTCTCCAAAATTGGCATCAACCCACCGGGCCAGGACTGAGGGCTTTTCTATGGGCTGCCATAATCCCGTAATCACGGAGTTGGTCTCCTTGGGCTGTAATGATCTGACAACTTGACCGCCTGTCATACTGGCCCTTGAGTTCCCAGGGGTCACGACCGGTTTTCCACATCTGCACCCCCAATGCCTTGTACTGGGTGCTGCTGCGTGGACCCCAGTTCACAAGGGTCTCAAATGTGTCAGTCTCAAATGACTACGGTTTTCAGTGGTTGGTTTTTAAAAAGTGTATCGCCATGTCTTTCACCCAAGGTACTTTTGTTTTCAAATCGTTTTATTAGGAGCTCAGACAACTCTCATCACAATCCATCCATCCATCCATTGTGTCCAGCACATCCGTACATAGGTTGCCATCATCATTCTCAAAACACCTGCTTTCTATTTGAGCCCTTGGTATCAGCTCCTCAATTCCCCCCTCCCTCCCCGCTCCCCCTCCCCCCTCAACCCTTGATAATTTATAAGGTATTATTATTTTGCCAAGGCACTTTTGAGTGGACCCCAACCTCCAACTTTTAGTTATTTATTTTCTTTTGACTCTACCTATTGGGCTCCTCTGTATCCAATAAACAATGTATTGAGCCCTTTGTATGAGGTAGAGACTCTGGGTGGAACAATTAATTAATGCACAGTGCTTTGTAAGTGTTTGTGGAATAGAGAGGAAGTGAATAGGGAGACTCAAAAGAAAATAAATAGCTAAAAATAACGAGACATAGATAATATTGCAAGAATGGAAATTCCAAAACACTTCATTGTGCTCATGTGGCAGCTAGGCTTATCGATGAAGAGACAGGTGCTTCACCAGGGGCTACTGCGTGATCTGAAATCGAGAAAGGTGTGCATCAGAGTTGCAGCCTCTCGCCAGACTAGTCTGTGTAGAGGATCCAAGACTCTGGGCTCTGTGCAGAAGAACGCGGCAGCAGGATCGGGGGAGAACTCACTGACGACTGGACATGTGCAGCTGACATGACCTTGTTTGCTGGGTGGAAAGAGGATTCCTTGTGCTTGCCTCTGCAGATCAAAGACGAAAGCCTTCAGAATGGATTCTATCTCAATATATAGGAAACAAAAACCCTGCCAACGGAGCCAATAAGCAATATCGCAGTAAACAGAGACAAGACGGCGGCTGTCAGGGATTTTACGTTACTTGGATCCACAATCAGCACCCCCTGGAAGCACTGTGGCCCAGGCTCCTGGCTCAGCACTCACCTCGATAAAACTCTTCAAATGAAATCATAGCCATGGCAGCCAGAGAAATGAAAACGGCCCATGGGCAGCTTCTCAATTTTTATGAAACGCTAGGGTTTTGAATTCTATAACAGACAGGCTAAGTGTACACGGAGCTACGTTCCCATCAACTGTTTTCCTATTAGCCCCAAACTGGGAACAAAACAAATGCTCATCAATAGAAAACTGGACCGATAAATTAAGAGTATATTTGTGCAATAGGATATTACGCAGTGATTTTTTTTTTAAAAAAGCAAACCACGGCCCATGTACTCAACCGCAGGGGTGAGTAATGGAAGTGTAGCATTGCCTGAGAGAAACGAGGCCCAAACGAGCACATTCTGCATGATGTCATCTACGTGAAGGGCAAGGCTGTGGTGATGCTCGTCTATACGAATAGAAGTCGGAGAGTAACTAACTGGGCACTTTTGGAGGGACTCTAGAAGGAGATGCACAGGGCTCTCCTGGAGTTCTGAACATATGTTGAACTGGGTGGTAGCTCTGAACATATGTTGAACTGGGTGGTTCACGTTGGAAGCTACGTGGATCTGCGCGTATGTCGACGCCCATCAGCTGTGCCCTTACAAGGCGCACCCATCGTTGTATGTTCTACCAAGGGAAAAGTCCTTACATTAAAAAAAATTTAAATATATATATGTTTTTGTATCGGTTCTACAAATGCAATTTTGACACAGTTCTTCAGCTCTCCCCGCCTCATCCTAGGCCATCAGCCTCCTGTGTAGAATTCCAAAGCCTTTCTTGCAAAAGACCTTGGAAGTTGGCTGTCCCGTTCCTTGAGTCTGGAGTGTGGATTCTCTCTCGTATCACGAGGGCCGCCTGAGGACAGAGCGAGGCTGAGGACTCCCTGCAGGAGCGGGCTGAACCCCATGGTATGGGCGGGCAGGGCATCCTCTCTGGGTAAGGGGCTCATAAAGATCTCTCTCCTCAATCCCATTGCAGAGGGGTCTCGGGGAGAAGACGAGCCAGTCAAGGTGCGATGTAGCAACGATGAAAAATACAACTTTCCTCTAGTTCCTAAATG